AATTCTTGCAACGAGTCCTTTATTAATTCCGACCGTACTTTTTGCTCCATCCGTGCTTATTCCAACACATCTGTTCCAATCAGTTTTGTTCTCTTGCATAAATGTATTGATAGCATTAAAGATTATCTTCTCCTGTTGTGATATTCCCACGTGATCCCCACTAAACTCCGGTGCAAAGCGTACCCCCCCACCAAACTCTTCCCGTACCCCTGGGGGTACGCGTACCACACTTTGGGAAACACTGCTCTAGAACCATGATGGCCAAGCTGTGGCACGCGTGGCAGAGGTGGCAGGCAGAGCCCTCTCTGTGGGCACGTGCGCCATCGCCAGCTGCTCTTCTGCTTTTGGGCATGCTGGCCAGCTGGTCTTCGTGGGCCCAGAGACCCCGAAAATGGCCAAAACCCAGGTCGTTTTTCAGGCCATTTTTTTTGGCCTGAAAATAGTCTGAAAAACAGCCTGAAAACGGCCCAAAAAGCACCCCCAAAGCAGGCTGGCCAGCTGTTCTCTGGGTTCCCGGTGCACAGACACGCATGTGCCTTCTGGTCTGGACCTTCGGTGCCGAAAAGTTTTTCCATCCCTGCTCTAGAAAGAGGGCGGAGAAGAGCAGCCAGGAGGATGGGGGGACTGGAGGCTAAAACAGGAACTGGGCCTGGCTACTTGGATCAGAAGAAGGACTGGGGGGGGGGGCTATGATCACTCTTCCAATATCTGAGGGGCTGCCCCAGAGAAGAGGGGACCGACCGATTCTCCAAAGCACCAGAAAGGAAGACAAGAAGCAAAACTGATCAAGGAGAGACGCAACCTAGAACTGAGGAGAAACTCTCTTGACAGGGAGGACAATTAACCCATGGAACCGTTTGCCACCAGAAGTGGTGAGTGGCTCCATCCCTGGAGGCTTTGAAGAAGAGTGAGAATCCAGAATGACTGAGGGTCTCCTGCTTGAGGAGGAGGGGGCTGGATTAGAAACCCCCAAGCCCCTTCCAGCCCTATTACTCTATGCTCTAAAAAAATGGAGCTGCTCAGGTATGAAGGTCAGTCGGAAGACCCCTCCCCGGAAAGATGGGCAGCCCTTCCAGGACCTCTTTGTGAGGCCCACTGGAGACACCTTTCCCACCCTTGGGACTCTCCCCTCCAAGCTGCCCATTGTGCCCCATTGCTCTGAGGCACAAGGGAAGCCCTTGGGGTGGGGGGTGGGAGAGGGAAGACCTCTTTCGAGAGCTGGGCTTGGCCACAGGACTTCCTACTTTCGTCGTAAGAGTCCCCCTCCGTCCACTCGGCTTCTTCTGCAGCTCAGCAAGACAAGGACTTCAGTCTCCACCTTTGGTTTTGAGGGGTTTCTCACCTGAGCTCCCTCTGAGCCTCAGGGACAGCCAACCTTGACCACTTGAAGACTTCAGCTATGCCGGCTGAGGAATTCTGGGAGTTGAAGTCCATATGTCTCCCAGTGGCCAAGGTTGGACATCCATCCAATGGCGGACTCATCATTCTACCCAACCATAATGACCCAACCACAATGACCCAACCACAATGACCCAACCACAATGACCCAACCACAATGACCCAACCACAATGACCCAACCACAATGACCCAACCACAATGACCCAAG